ACACAAGGGGTTAGTCAGTTATAACTTAGGGATCGGTTAATCACCTCCCTCATAGATGTTCCTCAGCCGTCAGTATCACCGATCCGCCGTATCGTGKTGGAGACCTATAGAATAGGGATGATGGCGAACTCCAAACAGGAAGCCGCGGGTTTTTTAGCCTGCGTAGCGGCTCTAGGGAAGAGGGGAGAGTCAAAACGTCCCTCCCCTCCCTTCTCCAATCCCCTATAACAGACTACGCAGGCTCCTCCTTTCTCGTTTTGCAGTTGTAATAGATCCAAAAATACATAGACATAATAATAAAAATTGGACTATTTATTAGTTTCGAAGTGAAAAATATGACATAGTACAGGTGTTTGATATTCAAAGTGTTAGTTATAAACAAAAAATAGTTACTGTAATTTATAGTTTTGGCTTCCTGTGTCACCGCGTTTATTAAGACACAATAAGAAATGCAGAAGTTGTCAAGAATTCCTTGTCATTAAGTTCATTTTACACAACATTGAATTCATCTGCATCATGTTTTATAGTACTGATGCTTTATATTATATATTTTGTACATTTTGCTATTATTATGTTAAAGCTGAAGTGTCCTAGATGAACCAGTCATCCCATTGTAGATAAAAGTGTTATTAAAAGGAACAAATTGATGGGTTATTAGYTTGATGACTTCTTGSGCTGCAGCACCTGAAACCAAATTAAGTAAGAGTTCGTTAATGACAAGGCAATTTGCAGGACTTCTTTGARTGATGTTTTTTTTAGTATTACATGCTAACTATGATTGTTTTACTGTTTCTATGCATACTAACAACTTTGAATTAGTGTTCCTAGCATTTCATCTTTTTCATTGCGCAGTCAAATTGATTATTTACTTGTATATTTTGGTAAAGAAATATCACTCTCACTAATTTTTTACAGTCAAATGAAAATGACTTGATATGGAAACTTTTTAAACAGAAGACAAAGGATTTTGTAGTGTTTYTTGGTTTCCTACCTCCAATAAATGCTGCAATTGGGTGAATCTCAGATGCACCATATCGACACCTATAACAAAACAAGATTGTACCATAAATAATAGTTAATTATGAAATTATAGCTAATCTGCATTTTACAAGATGTGTAAAAAAGAAGAAGGATAAAAAATACTCGCTACACTCATGCTMCTAAGCCTTCCTCCCTTGTGCTCTCCATCCTCCCAACATGTTTATACCAGAGGGCAGAGACACAGGTGGCCTTTTTTTCGAGAATAAGTTGACATATTTTAGCCTTACATTTCATGGATGTATTCRGACTTGATGTTTGCGCTAATTGTCCATTCTTGTAGGATTGAACTCACACATGACTGAAAGCAAGCAGAATTGAAAAAAACATGAATGAATGAACAGATGGAAAATAGGATGAATGAGAAACAAAGGTAAATGAATTAATGTTCAAAAATGAATATGTAAATGGATGAATAAACAGATTRTATAAACTTTAATTAAATAGGTATTATACTACTATTATACACTATTTTATTAATGCAATGTGAATGCAGCCCTATCTTCTTGTCAAAGGAAAAGACTGAGAACATGAASAAGATGCTTCATGCCTTTTATTTATCATGATTTGACAATCACTTAGCTATTTTACCTGTCTTTCAACTTACCCTAAGTTTTACRACATCAGCTTCTACCTGATCATCAAAATGACCTAATAAAACACAATACAAAGCAGCATTTTAATCAAGCAATATCAGGATCAATACATATGGTGGATGACTTTAAATTACAATGTAGCTTAAGGACCAATAACATTATAACTGTGCTGTTAACAGGAATTATTGGCACAGAACAACATAACCCTCAGGTACTATAATCATAMCTTTCAAATTCCTAATTATTATTGCATAATATCAGTTATGCAAAGTCCACTAAGTGGACTTTAAAATAAATCTAAAATTATTGATGCCTTACCAGGATATCTGTGATATTGATTGTAAAATCTGTCWGTGGCYCTTAGCAGCACATAGAAWACAACATCAGTGTCTGGGTCATCTAGATTACACCCTGAATCATACAATCATACATATTACCTTTCAACAATAAACTTGCTTGAGGATGAACACAATATCGTGAATATTCATAAGCGTAGACACATCTCTATTAAGACCCTAATTGCCTTATTGAATGTTTATTTGCTCTTACTAATGACTATTCTTTATCATTTTTTTTTGTGGTTAATGAACAGCAAAAGGAGGTATTAGTATAATTAACTTTTCAAAATCCTTTGCCACTAAATATGGCCTGATCAGGGAAGTTCATTTTTTATTGAGAGGGGGGAGGGGGGGTCGTGTCAATAAGACATGGTCAACAGGTTGGGTCAATAGCAAAAAAAATAGTATCCAACTAAAGGCGGGAATGCTTTTTTTTCAAGAAAGTTTTCAAAACCACCAGCCCGCTCCTGATAAAAAATGAATGGTCCCTTGATATTCAGTAGCAAATATTTTTTTATCATCATTCATATGGACAGACTACTTTCACAATGTTCATGAAATAGTTACCTATTTCTGAGATGTTAGCTTTGGAAGCATTGTATTCTTCAGCTAAAGATCTGCACCTCACAACCTTTAAAAATGATGCGTTTCTACCTGTTGAACAAAGTTGAGGCACATGAGAATTGAGTGCCTGCCAGGACAGAGGAATGATAATTAAATGTATATAAGGAAGAGCAAGAGGAAACTAAGGTGAAACAAGGGGGTAAAAGTGCAAGAAAAGAGGGGACGTTTGGCAAGGAGAACAAGAAAAGTAAGGAGAACAAGAGAAGCAAGGAGAAAAAGAAAAACAAGAAGAACAAGGGAACCAAGGAGGGCAAGGAAGCAATAGGAGCAAGGAGAGCAGAGAAACTTTGAGGAGTGATTTGTGCAGAAAGAGTCAAATTTAGATAGTGTCTAAATCCCCAAGCTTCCCAAACATGTAAGACACTTAGTTTAACAAGCAAACAAAAAACAAATGAATGTAGAGTTAGGACTATGTGATCATAGTAAAAACCTGTTGATTGAGTATTAACGGTAGGAAAAAAAGTATGATTTACTGTACTTACAAAATATTCTTATCTCAGATTCTGATATACTGTCAGTTGACTGCAAAATAAAAATCAACAAATATTGAACAAACCAGTCATACAATCAACTGAAAACAGAATAATGTAAAAATGCATAATTAACTACTATTTGACATTTTTAATTGAATAAATTGGAATTTTACACTATATTTCTAAAACAATACATAAAAAAGGCAAAAAAAGACCAATAATGGAATTGAGGAGTGACACCCAAATATGGAATGATGTGGGATGATTGTTGTATCTTTTAGGGGTTAAAATCATAGTCTCCTTTACAGCCTCCCCTTTTGTCAGGCTTCCTGTGGACAGTAAGCCTGAAAAAAGGGAGGCTGGGAAGGAGACTATTGAAATCAGGGTCTGGTATCTGTTATGGTGCCTCAAGGGTTTTAAAATGTGTTTAATCAACAAACATTTTTTAGTCTGTTGGTATCTTTTATCTGATGATCACTCTCACCCTAAGTACAAGGGATTTCCCCCAACATTTTTGCAATTACACTGTAGCTGTATATGACATACTTTTCCAATAGAATTTAATATACTATGCACTCTTTGAGTGACAGCTGCGACATCTTGTTTTGCTTTGTCTTGATATCTGTTTAAAACATTTCCCAACAAATCAATATGTCATCCAAGAACTGTTGGCCTATATAGACCTTTTCTGAAATACAAAATCATGATGCATTGTGGTCTAGCTTCAGTACAAACAACGCCATATTTGGCAACACGAACAAAAGATGTTTGTACCGAATCTAGACCACAATGCAATGCAAACTGCTATCTCAGAAAAGACCTATGCAATATTATAATGCACTGTAACAACTTTAGTCCTTCATCAGAATTTTTACTTTTTTGGACCAAAGTCCAAACTGCCAATAGATTTTTGYTACAGTGTATTACAATCAAATTTAATTTTTTTTTAAGTATAAATAAGTGTTTCTCCATAAAAAGTTCTGTTTCTCTATTCAACCTCCAATGAGCACAAACTGGTAAACCTCCATCAAAAGGACAGTTTGAAAAGTTCTGGGATTGACTGGTCAACACATGTATATTAATCTTTTTTTTTAAAATGAAAATTTATTCTAAAATAGTATAGTGTGGGCTTTCATCTTACATATTTTGAAGAGCAATATAACTTTTAGAATCTGCTGTCATATCAGGTATAGAGCCTCGGAGAGGAAGAAGACCTTGAAAGAACAACAAATGAATAARAATTGATTAAATTATCAAAAAGTTATATTTTAATTTTGACGACATTAATAACTCCTGCTAATGTCACAGTGGTTGTGAATACCTTGTCCTTCATTTTCAACAAATTCTTTCACTGCTCCAGCAATTATCCAGAATGAAGAGCTCTGTTTCAAGTAAAATAAGTATCTTTAATAAATATTATAATACTAATTTWAAATACTAAAGCTGGACAACTACAKAGATTAATGACTGAAGACTGCTAGGAGCCATGGGGTATTAAATGTATTTTTTTCTTTATGTTTTATTTTAAATTACAATATTATCATAACCTAAAACAGCAGATATCCCATTTAAAGTGTATCAGCCATATTCAGTACTTGCTAATGATTTGTTTATCTAATAAATCAAATAATTAACTTACAGACTGCATGATGGTAGAGCATTCAGCTTCCTTGAATATGTTCTGTATATCAGAGTTTATCTGAAAAACAAACCAAACATAACAAGGTAGTACTAACATTACAGTGTACTTCTGATGTCCTGTGGTTATGGGAGCAATGACAATTGAGAGACCATCTACAGAAGTTAGCATTGGTTGGTTTAATTGGATTCTCTTGATCGATATTCACTGCAGTTAAACCACAGCCAGTTGGCAATGCAGGTGCAAAGTAAATTATCAACAAATAGTTAAGAGAAATAAAGCTAGTGTGCTAATAAATGTAGCAGTAGACTGTTGTCATCCACCAACTAAAGTTYTTTGATTGGCAGCAGTCTTGAAAATTGTCTGCTGTGAAGTTTGTCTGGCTAGTCATGGACTGTAGCAATGTAAATGGTTGTAAGTAAAAATAAAMATGCAAATCAACCTACTTTACTTGGAATTAAAGCCTTATTGGCAGCTTTAATGGCTTCGTCAAAATTCTCTTCCTCTTCTGGTACTCCATTTTCCCTCACTAGTATCCCTAGGAATACCAAAAGGACTTAAAACTGTACTTTCATCCCCACCAGAGTCAGATCCATGATTGGATCCAGGGAAAAGAGCCCATTGAAATAAAGTAGGGAAAAGAGTCCACAAATAGAAGTGTTTTATCACTTCCTGTAGGACCCCAAAAGCACCAAATCTATATAATATGCGTCAAAGTACCCAGCCCCCTTTTTGACAGCCCCCTGCACCTGTGCACAGACTCTAAGGGGTAGGTGTTGGGAAGGAAAGGGAGGTGTATTTATGCCTATTACTATCAAATAATACATTTGAGAGAATTGACTGAAAACTGTGTTCACAATACAATGATTTGTCTTACCATCTCTGATAATTTTCTTAAATATATCTTTTTCTTTGTAATTTTGAGGAGGGAGACCATTGTGCTGAAAAATAAATACACAAAGAATATATTTAATAAAGATAAAAAGAAAAACAGGGAACAGAACAAAAAATACTATTCAGTGGCCTAACAAGGTTACAGCTTACCTCTTCTTTCCACTTTGTAAGGTACTTAAGTAGAATTACTAGGTAAGGTATATGAGAATGTTCCTAAAAGATAGAAATTACATTAAAAATTAAAATAATAATGATGATGATATCTTCAGGCATGGCAGCATTATCAAGTACAAAATCATACACTGTTTATTTATATTTAACTGTTTATTAATGTTTAAATGACCTTTTAAAGCTTTTGCCTCACAATTATGAACACAATGAAAAACCTACTAGTATTTAGCTAATTCATCATCTTAGTTGATAGATCCTTAATACACATAACATGATACTGAAACTACTTGTCATAGAACTTTGGATAGGATTATGATGAGTACCTCTTTAGTCATGCACTTAAAGTCAAAGGAATCCACATAACTCTGTAAACCTTGAAATGGTTTGTCTAGACGAAGATCTTCAATAGCATTATCAGGATGAGATTCCACCACTGCAAGAAGAAAGAAAATGAAGAAATGAATAAAAAAATGGTAATAATTACAAATGAGTGAATGAATTTATTGAATAAAAACAAAAACGTTTTTTTTTCTATTTTTTTTTATTTTTTTTATCTATTTTATTTTAAAACATACAGTTCAATAAGAGTATTAGATAGTAAATGGGTTAAAAATGGAAGGAGTTAACTTGATGGAAAGAAAAGGAACGGATGGAAAAGCTGAATGAATGGATGAATAAATGCTGAATGGGAATAAAATGAAAGAAATGAATGAAATAAAATAAATGAACAAATAGTACCTGTATGTTCTTGTACAACTAGTCTCATGTAGCCAATCAATCCATATGATCTACATACTAACAGAGGCACTTTAGCTGACCAAAGAACATCACCAAGCTTCAGAAGCAYGCTAGATATGAAGACAAAATACACAGTTGAACAGGAGAAAGACCCAAAGTCAAGACTTAGCGATGCAATGTGATAAAATACTGTAAGTAACTTCTGGCATCTTACCGTTCTTGCAGCTGTGTTGCTATGACAACAGAGAATGATTTAAAGAAGCCTACRTTGTTCTCAAGGATTTGCTCAGCAGTCTAGAAAAAAGACAAGTATTGCAAAGATTTATACAGTCATGTGTTCTGTAACTTTTGTACCATCCAATAACATCCAATGGCTGTACCTCTTCAATGAAGTCACCAGAAACATCTGGATTGAGCTCTAAAAGCAATTCYGTAGCACATTCTGCTCTAGACTATGAAGATTCAAAAAATACTGGACTTAATGATAAATAAAGAAATAAAATATGACCGAATAAAGTTTTCTCTTATTAATTGTTTGGTTTATTTTCTGAAGTGTGATAGGGTATATCTGTATTCCATACAACAGGGTTCTCAGCAAAGAGTAGACAGCTTTTCTAGTCAAAGTAACTGTGATTAGATATTAGCAAAAACCAGTGATTTTCTTACCAGCTTCTATATATTAAGATATGATATAATAGACAGATTTAGTGTCATGAATAAAAATAAAGCTAGTGTAAATGGTACATGTTGCTGTATCCCTTGGACATATAAATATTGGTTACCTTTCCTATGCTTGCTTTTTCCAAGAAAAAACTACAAAAAGGAAAACATTAATGTTACTTTCAAAGCACAATCAACTCAAATTAACAAAACAACAGGATACATACTTATTTCCTATGTCTTCCCCAGTGACTTTAGCTCCATCGACTATGGTAAAGGATCCAACCCCTGTAGCATTATAAAATAAACTATAATTAATGCATTTACATATTATGCAACAATAAGCAGCTGAGGGTTTTTTTTAGTGCATGCAATGTAAAGAGCTTTTTGGTCTTCGCATTGGTGATACATTATCCTTTGTTGGTTAGTACAATCCTGTATTAAATGGTGGATTTTAGGGAGTCCCCCCGGGGTGGATTGACTATTGTTTGATTTGTTCAGTTCTAATAAAACATGTCTGTTTGAAGCAGTAAGCATTCCGCACAGTATAACATAATATTAAAGTTTAATATAAACCAGTAAAGACATGTATATAACAGAGGGATTTTAATCAATTAAAAAGTAAAATTAAGATTAATATAATCTACTGAAAATCCACTTACCAGGTAATATCAAATTTTTCAGAATTTCTGTCCCAGTTGTTGAGGCATTAATTAGACAGACCTTAGCTTTCTCAAGAGCAGCTTGACCATGATCACCCCACAACCTAATATCAGAAATTCAATCCCAAATCAGCTAATCACTGGCATGGGGGACCATATTGTGAAATAACGCCTGAAATCTTGAATATATTGGTGGCAGAAAAGTAAGGGAGCTGATAATGCCCCTTCACCACTTTCCCTTTGGTCTATTATATTCCCGCATTTCCCAAGTACATTTTATTTGAGACAGTGCAACATGTAATTATTACAAGTTACTACTTAGTATAATTTCTTCGAACAAAACAGAATCCATTTTTCGTCCTGCCCCAACCCTCCCCCTGCCATGTTGTGTCTGTTATCATCTTCTGAGTATTGACATGAAATATAACATTGTAGATGGGTCAAGGGAAGAAGAGGGACGCAGGGAATTAAATCATTGATTAAAAAAACACACAACAAAACATTGTTTGTATTATTTTATGTGTGAAATTTTTAAAGTACGAGTCTTTCTCATCTACAGTTGCCATCAGAACCTGTCAACCCACCCTCCCCCAGGCTAATTTGTAATAGCAATTGATAGTATGCAATTCTTTTTACCTACAAATAAAATTTCTGGATATCCCCATCTCATCTATTAACGATTATTGAATCTTACAACAACAAAAAAAACATCCGCTGCTTGGATATCATTCATTTTTGAGTACCTTCACGACCAGGTCAACTGTTTAGACATACATGAGATATTTGCTGAAAAACACCGCGTTCTTTCAACGATACCATAGTTTCAAACGCGCGCCAAAATGTGCAAAGCTTGCATGCAGAATTGAAAAGAAAAATCAACTTATTACATATATCGTATCAAAGTAGTCAACCACTACCATTTAAAATGATGCTTTGATTTTGTTGTTCATGTTGACAGGACAGACACAGTCCATTTCCTGAAAATATTTTTCCAGCTTCATTTCAGCCTCGACTTGTCAACATTTTGAAGACTTCGCAATGAACAGTGCGCCCACYATAAACACTAAAATAATTCTGCGAGGCATTTCATAGCTTACCTCAACTGTCTATCGTATTTTTTCTCTTTTTCTACCATTGTTTTTGCCATTTTCGCTGGTTTTGTTGAAGGTTCAGGCGAACCTTCCGTCTTCCTCTTCATAACGCATGCTCAAATGACTGACAGATACACAGGAAGCCCGTGAGTCCGGCGCAAATCATTCTGCGCATCTTCRTCAGGGAGCAATTTGACAATTCTTTATTATGGAATCAGGCTGTTTTGAGGATCATGAGAGTTAAAAATGTTGTAGTTAGTGCACCTGGTAAAGTTATTCTTCACGGAGAGCACGCAGTTGTTTACGGAAAGGTAACAAAATGTAACTTTTACTGRGAAATTCAATGTAAACGGAAGGACGGTCATTTTGTTTACATTTCTTGCTTCCTTTATGTGTATGGTACCTTATTATCTGTAAAATGTTTGATAATGATAWGATATGCAAAAGTAGTTCAATTTTTASTCATTGTGTTTTGTAAAATGTTGTYCTCTGGCAGCCTGCAATATCAGCAAGTATAGGTTTGAGAACAACTGTGTCACTAAGCCCATCTCAAACGTACATCACCCTGCATCTTAAAAACCTGAACAAAGAGATCAAATGGAAAACAGAAGAACTTCAAAGATTGCTACCAATTGTAAATCATGAYCAAAAATGCCTCACCCCTCTCCCTGTCAGTAGCAGTTGTCTGGAAGGCATTGATCGTTTGCTTACCAATGAAGATRGTGATAGTGTGGTTGATGCAGTAAGAGTGTTTTTATTCTATGTTGCCAATGTTCTTCATGATAACCATAGGTAAGCAATTAAGGAAAGTATCTTAGTGGGCTTCCTGTGGTGACATTTGTTTAACACAGGGAGCCCATTTYACAAGTTAGCATTACTAATGAGTCTCATCATTTTAACACCTTTGAGATGACTAAGCTAATCAGMCATCATGATAGCACCAATGGTTGCACAAAGAATGGATTAAAGTATCTGCTTCTTAGGTTTTGTATTGATTTTAGATATGTGCTGGTCAGGATTTATAAAGCATTATTCCCATTTTGTACCATTTGTGCCTTTTTCCAAAAACGTTTTTATACAGCTAACTTGTAATTTACAGTGAAGGAGGAGCATTTCCACTGAGTGGATGTTTTTATTTCAGAATTCTTCCTGTAGAAGTATCAGTATCATCTAATCTTCCTATTGGCGCAGGACTYGGATCATCAGCATCATATAGCATTAGTCTTATTGCAGCCATGTTAACTGCACAAGGATTTATTACTCCATTATCACTAGATGTAGTGCCAAGCAGTGAGAAAAGACCTCGTTATAGCATGACAAATCACTACCAAGATGGTAATAAAAGCCAGTTTTCTTCAGAAACTTTAGATGTTATCTGTGCATGGGCTTTTGAGGGKGAGAAACTAATGCATGGAAAACCATCGGGTATTGATAACAGCATTGGTACCTATGGTGAGTTTTATTTAACTTAAAAGTGTGATATTCTAGTTATACACCACATACATATAAAAAACACCACAGTTTTGAATTAAATTGAACTGTGGCTACAGTCAGTGGCTAAATTTGTTAACCGATATGAAACAAAGGGTACATTGCATGGATAAATGTTACAATCACAATGTTTCAACCTACATGCTTAAATCATTCTATTTTCAAAACTGAATGATTGTAAGGTTTGCTTTTTTGTTTTGGGCTTCCTGTCCCTCCCCAAATAAGGATTAATCCTTTATTTTGCAGGTGGAGCAATTCAGTTTTTGAATGGAAMAATTACACATTTAGAAAGGTGTGTGGAAATTGATAAGATATAATGAGTAATTAAAAATTTCTTCAGAAAAAAATCTACTTTCAAAAACAACAAGACACTGGTGCTCTTGCCTGTTTTGCCTGCTGGCCTCATAATCATTAAGAGGGAAGATTTTTCTTTTCTTGCAATACTGTTGCAYACTGGCAACACAGAATGTAGGTTACTWAAAATCCTASGTTTTGGATCAGGGTGTTGTAAGTTCTGCAATAATWCCCTGGCTGTTGCTGTTTTAACTGACCACATGTTGCATGTGTTTTGCTCTTTTCAATTATYATTTTATTTTCACCAGTTTTCCAAGTCTTAGCATTTTGTTAATTGATACAAGAATCCCACGAAGCACCAAGAGCATGGTATCAGGCCTGGCAGAAAGATATAGAGTGGTATGATTATAYGATTGCTGCTGCTTGCCTCGAGAACCGCAATTATACTGACAAATTGATTGATCAGTGAAAAGTAATAAATGCAAGTTGACGTAGCGTTACTACAACTACTAGAATGCAATTGTGCATTCCATTGTTATTCAGTCAAGACTTGTTATAGGTATTACAAAAGAGAGTAGGCAAAGCATTCTGGTAGTTGTAGTTCWTGACAAAAAAATGTGGTTTATTTGCCCCAAAAGGGASAAMTTTTTGTGTTTTGATGTTTCTAGACCTAGTAATAATATTTTTCAGTATCCAACAATCTACGGTCCACTATTTGACGCGATGAGTGGCGTTACAAGTGAAGCCTTAAAAATATTGGCGTCGATAAATGATGGTAAGAAGTATGTAGAGCACAAAACGCATCACAAAACGCGCCACACAACGTATCGCAAAACGTATCACACAACGTATCACAAAACGCACCACACAGCTATCGCAAAACGCGCCACACAGCTATCACAAAACGCATCACACATCGTATCACAAAACGCATCACACAACGTATCACAAAACGAATCACACAACGTATCACAAAACGCACCACACAACGTATCACAAAACGCATCACAAAACGTATCACAAAACGCACCACACAACGTATCACAAAACGCATCACACAACGTATCACAAAACGCACCACACAACGTATCGCAAAACGCGCCACACAACGTATCACAAAACGCACCACACAACGTATC